CAAGGATGTCGTGTGGGACAGTACCAAATGCTTTGGACAGGTAGACGATGTCAGTTGATCTTTCTTTATCCATCAGTGCTGTATCCATCAATGCTGTAACCTCATCATAGAAGGTCACCAAATTAGTCAGGCAGGATTTGCCCTTAGTGAAGCCATGTTGGCTGTCACCAATCACCTCCTTATTGTCTATGTGCCTTAGCACAGTCGCCAGGAGGATCTGCTCCATGATCTTGTCGGGCACAGAGGTGAGACTGACTGGCCTGTAGTTCCCTGGGTCTTTTTTCCCTTTTTAAAGATGGGGGCTATGTTTCCCCTTTTCCAGTCAGTGGGAACTTCGCCAAACTGCCACAACTTCTGAAATATGATGGACAGTGGCTTAGCAACTTCATCTGCCCGTTCCCTCCGGACCCATGGATGCACCTCATCAGGTCCACCCTCAGGACTGGTCCACCTTCAGGTTCTTTAGATGGTCTCAAACCTGATCTTCTCCTACATTGAGCAGTTCTTCATTCTCCCAGTCCCTGCCTTTGCCTTCAGTGACTTGGGCTGTGCAGCTGGAGCTCTTGCCAGTGAAGACTGAGGCAAAGAAGTCGTTGAGAACCTCAGCCTTCTCCATATCCCGGGTAGCCAGGTCCCCCGTTTCCTTCCAGAGAGGGCCTACGTTTTCCCTAGATCTCTTTTTATCACTGCCATATCTTTAGAAGTTTTTCTTGTTGCCCTTGATGTCTCTGGCCAGATTTAACTCTATCAGGGCTTTAGCTTTCCTAACCTGATCTCTGGTTGCTCAGACAATTTCTTTGTATTCTTCCCAGGCTACCTGTCCTTGCTTCCACACTCTGCAGGCCTCCTTTTTGTGTGTGAATTGGTCCAGGAGCTCCTTGTTCATCCATGGTCTTCCTACCTGACTTCCTCTTTGTTGGGAGGCACTGCTCCGGAGCTTGGAGGCGGTAATCCTTGAATATTAACCAGCTTTCTTGTGCCACTCTTCCCTCCAGGGCCTCATCCCATTGTACTCTACCAAGGAGATCCCTGAAGAGGCCAAATTCTGCTCTCCTGAAATCCAGGCTCTCCTGAGCTTGCTGAGCACCCTCCTTGCCTCCCTAAGAATCTTGAACTCCACCATTTCATGGTCACTGCAGCCAAGGCTGCCCTTGAGCGTCACCTTCCCCACCAGCCCCTCCTTGTTGGTGAGAACAAGGTCCAGCAAAGCACCTCTCTTCGTCGGTTCCTCTACCATTTGGAGAAGGAACTTATCATCAACACATTCCAGGAACTTCATCTTCATGATGAGAGCGCAAACTGGGGCAATAAACCTTTCACTACG